AGTGTCAGTGAACGTGCCACTGTTTTGATGGACGGTTCTTGTGACCTGTAGCTGTGGGGTTGGGTGGGAGAGTGTTGTCTGGTTGGTTGGGGCTGGAAGAGGGAGGTTCCTGGGGAGAGAGACGCGGGAAGCTAGGAGAGAGCTAGCGGGACACGTGACGTGATTGTTTTGGCGTGGTTACGGCCAACAGTAACCTGTGATCTATATTATAAATTCCCGGATAAAGGACAAACTAAGCCTCCCTGTGTTCCTGTAGCGAGACGCTACATTTGGTGTCCGGAGTAAGAGTTCAACTCGGATTAACGGCAGCTAACTAGTGGCGTGCTACAGTGATTGCTGCCATACAGCCTACAGTTTCCATCTCGGTGAGAACATGTCGCGGCCCGTCCACACAGCGGCGTGCGTTGAAGCTTCCAACGCTTCTGCCCATTCACTTTGAATGGGGTGACGTCACTTTTAGCCGAACTGCATTTTGGGAAGCGACGTGGAGCGTTGCTGGCGTTGCTCGCTTCAAAAGTTGAGCAATGTTCAACTTTTGGCGCCTCGGCAGAAGCGTCAGCCAATGAAATCCCGTTTATGCAAATCTGCCAGTACAAGCGCTAGCCAATCAAACCGCGTGTATGCTGGGAGAGACTACGCAGGTCATTTCCTCATATTCCAAAAAATGGAGGGAAAATTCATTATAGCGGTAGTGAATCACCCGGTGCTGTATGATCAGTCTCTGTTCATCTACCGGGATACAAACCGGAGGAGCGAGGCATGGAGGGAGGTGGCAGAGACAGTGGGTGAAACTGGTAGGTTTTCGCCGGTTTGGGGATTTTATATCCAGTTTACTTCGTTTTAACATTGCTATTGCTTTGTATGTCGGGGGCGAGAGATTCATGTGATTGGTTGTTGGTCGCGTTGCACCTGCACAAACCCCCACCCTGCCGACCCTGGACCCTAGCCTTCACCCAGTCATTGCTGCAGAACCTGTCGCAGATGAGAGAGTTTCGGCAGTGACAGATGTCTGGCAGAGAAACTCTGATGGACTAACTCCCAATGAGCAGAACCTGCTGCTGCAGCTCTTGCTGGAATTCAAAGACTGTTTTTCACTGTCTGAGGCCGATGTTGGCCGGACAGATCTCATCGAACACAACATCGACACTGGAGATGCACAGCCCATTAGAATGAGACCACGACGCCTCCCTCTGGACAGACAAGCTGCAGCAGATAAAGCACTGGTGGAGATGCAACGGGCTGGACTCATCGAACCCTCCAACAGCCCCTGGGCCGCTCCAGTAGTCATGGTTCCCAAGAAAAAGAAGGAGGACTTTTGGTTCCGCGTAGACTTCAGACCGCTCAATAAAGTGACCAAGAAGGACCTATACCCCCTTCCTCGCATCGATGAGGCACTCGATACAGTGGCAGGGTCTTCCTGGTTCTCCTCCCTGGATCAGCGCAGCGGATATTGGCAGGTCCCCCTTGCCCTTGAGGCCAGACAGAAAACAGCCTTCATCACCAACGGGGGTTTATGGCAGTTTAAAGTTCTCCCATTCGGCCTCTGTAATGCCCCTGCCACGTTTGAGAGGCTTATGGACCAGGTGCTGGCAGACATCCCCCGCCATGAGTGTGTTGTTTACCTAGACGACATCCTCGTCCATGGGAAATCCTTCGAATATAGCTCTCGGGGCCCTCAAACGTGTGCTGGTGAGAGTGGCTGGAGCAGGACTGAAATTGCACCCCCAGAAGTGCTGTTTCGTGAAGCGTGAGGTGACTTTTCTCGGTCACAGGCTAACGGAGGGCGGTGTCTGCACCATGGGAGAGAAGGGGCAGGCTGTGAAGGACTGGCCCACCCCCAGCTCTGTGCAGGACCTGAAGAGCTTCCTGGGCCTGTCCTCCTACTACAGGAGGTTTGTGAAAGGGTTCTCCTGCATACCTGCACCGCTGTTCCGCCTGTTACAGAAATGAGAGGTGTTTTCATGGACAGTGGAGTGTCAGGCAGCATTTGCTTTACTACAGGAAGTCCTAGTGGAGACACCGATCCTCTTCCCCCCTGACCCCACCCTTCCCTTCATCCTCGACACCGATGCCAGCAACAGTGGAGCAGGAGCCATGCTGGCCCAGGTGACACCAGAAGGAGAGAGAGTAGTGGCCTACTATAGCAGAACATTCAACAAAGCTGAACGCCACTACTGTGTCACCAGACGGGAACTGCTTGCTGTGGTCAGCGCCATCCGGCACTTCAAGTACTACCTAGGGGGCCTCCACTTCACAGTCCGGACTGATCACTCTGCCTTACAGTGGCTCATGTCCTTCAAAGAACCAGAAGGCCAGCTGGCAAGCTGGATTGAAGATTTACAAGCATATGACTTCACCATAATTCACAGACCTGGCGTGCAGCACGGCAACGCTGATATACTCTCCCGCCGCCCCTGCTACAGTGATGACTGCCGCTACTGCGTGAAGAGAGAGATACAGGAGAGGGAATGTCTACAGGTTGAGGTGATATGTGCGACGGTGGGACCAGTCGCGCATCAACTGACCATGGACATTTAGCTGTAGATGCTGCCTAATGGAGGAAGAATCAGGAGGGGGATGTGGACATCAGGCCGGTAACCGCTTGGGTGGCTGCACAACACAAACCCCGGTGGGAACAGGTCTCTGAGTTTTCTCGTGCCACTAAAGGGCTATGGTCAATGTTTGAAGCCCTGCGCCTGTGTGATGGAGTGCTGCAGAGGGGGTGGAAGGAACCGGCTGCAGGAGAGACACGGTGGCAGGATGCCAGGAAACTCCAGGAACGGTTGCAGTCTGCTCACGACTTTGCCAGGCGCCAGTTACAGAGTGCAGGGGCGAGGCAGAAGAGGAACTACGACGTGCATGCTAGAGGACGGCATTTCAGTGCAAGCGAGTTGGTCTGGGTGTATAACCCACAGAGGAAGAAGGGCAGATGCCCAAAGCTGGACAGCAACTGGGAAGGGCCCTGCAGGGTTCTGGAGAGACTGAGTGAGGTCGTCTACAGGGTCCAACTGAAGCGGAGAGGGAGAATAGTTGCTCTTCACCGGGACAGGTTGGCACCCTATCGGGGTACAGCGACACCACTAGGATCAGGTGGTGAGACACAGGGGGCTAGGGACACTGTTCTTTCTTCTTCCCAACCCCCCTCTCACCTTGCCTGGTTCTCCACAACCTGGACCTTTTTTCCCTTGCCCTACTCTGGGCCCCACGGTGGGCCTGTCTCCCCCTGCCGCAGACCAGGCACGGCCGCAGAGAAATCGCAGACCCCCCTAACCACCTGAGGGGTTGAGGAACTTGACGCTCGTCAACTATCAGCAGGAGGGCGGGGGAGCCTCGCTGCGGGGAAGCAGACCTGTCAGCGCAACTTACATGATGCCGAATTTAACAAACACATTTAAATAATTGGTTTAAACGGCATAATAATAAGGACGATCGTCCGTTCTGTGATTCTCCAGAGCACACATGTTATGATATTAGGGTCATGTAGAGTGAGATGAGATCGCTGTCCCTTTAAGAGAGAGAGAGAGAGAGAGGTGTGGCTTGTGCATGTGTGTTTGTGGATGGTAGAGCGACAGTGAGAGAATCTATGGAGAGAAGGTGTGTATGTTTCTGGAAGTGAAACGAGGAAGCAGAAAAACAGAGGTCTGTGATGTATTCTGCCCTCCTCGACTACGGTCTGGGAACCGACAGGAAAGTTCAACACACAGATGGCCAGTCCGCCCCTTTGTAGCATATTATTTCGATGAGAGATGAGCAGATCGCCACTGGGCTTTCAACTAAATACACAGCCACGCAAAAACTGCGGCATTTGTACAGCTCCTTATGGGTACTGCAATCTGTGAAGTGCTTTCCTCCGTGGTGAAACTATCAGCGCTGCACCACGGAGGAAAGTGGCAGAAAGTCACCTGGAGTTAAAGAGAGCGGGGCTGCGTTGCGTGCATGGCTTCCTTCTGCAGGTAACGGAGAGATGCGCTCTGGCGGCTGTCTCGTTCAGGATCCGAAAATACAATTTAAATATTTTTGCACACTTATTCCTAGTGTGCCACTGGTTACGGTGCCGCGTGCCAGGGGTTGCCGACCCCTGCGCTACAGTATCATTGGAGTACTGAACTACTGATTTGTTGACATCAGTTGAATGTTGGAGCAGTTAGGTTGTTTAACCTATAACCCCCTGATCCCACCGGAAGCTGCGGCTGCGCCGCGACCTCCTCCTGCGTCATAACCCACCAGGCGCGTTTCAAAACGTTGCGGAAGCGGAGCGTCGTGTGTGCAGCCTCGCAGTATTCCACCAGACCCGCTGCGCCAAAAATAGGATTCATCCTATATTTTAGAAATTCCTTGCGGCGAGGAGCTTCTGGTACGCTTCGAGTCGCGGCACCCGTTGACTAGAGTGGCCGCGATCGCTAAAAACGCCGCAGCCGCTCCTGGTGGGATTAGGGGGTAACAATGCATGTTTTATTAGTGATCACATATTTTTTCACAAGGAAAATAATATGGAAAATGCCTGGCTGTCAAATAAATGTTCACATTTAACCTGAAAGCCTAATGTAAAGTATAGAGTATCTGGTATAAATACTCATATCTTAGGGTTTTATTTATATACATTTTGTGAAAAATAAAATGAGTTGCTTTTCATAATTTCTGTCAAGGGCCTTCCTCTCAAGACAGTTTGAAGAACATGATGAAAGATAATTATAACACACACATACAGTATGGTGAAGTGTGTGCAACTCATTAATTGACCTGAACTGCCTGCACAAGTTAAATATCAAGTCCATTGATTTGTCATTTCTCGCCTTTATGGAACAGATCTGTAAATCTGTGAATAAGGTTAACAAATTCAATACTTCCATCCATTAATTGTGGAGACACTAAAGCAAATTATTGAGGTCAATAGCTCAGTTTCAGTAAAGCAACATTTAAAGAAATCCAAATGTTTCACAAATGGTTTATAAAAAAAACAATTGTAGCAGGGAGAACATCTTGAAATAAAAACATACAAGTATCTAGAACTTATTTTATTTAACAGTATTTTACAATATAAACCATTCTATAGATTACATCATGCTTAACTCTACCAAGTGAACGAGAAGCATACTTATTCAATATTTGAACTCAAATGTTAGACAGTAAAAAAAGTATTGCATCCAATGGCATAAACTGGAGCTGGATCAGGCCAGTAACCAACAGTGTAATGATTTACTGAAAATTAAACAGAGGAATTAATGCTAACAAATGTTATCATGAACATTGGATGCCATTAAGTGCAAATTACGATAACAAAATAAAAAAATAAACTACAATTCTGAGATGACATTTTATATTTTCTTTCACAATGCATCATTTATTCTGTGCAGCAACAACCAGCTCAGTGTGATGCTGAAGTAACACTGAGGTGTTTAAACTTGAGTAACCATAACACGTGGCACAGTTCATGACATCCAGGATTTAATGCTACCGTTCCTTTTTTCCGTTCATCATGCTGCAACAGTTCTTTGAGTTGAGCATACAGCACACGTCCCGAATTCTTTATCATCGTGGGATGGCAGTGAAAAATACAGCGTTGTATTGTATGTACTCCAGTTTGAAACCCGCCTCGGCCGCCACTGCGTCAGGCCGTTGTGTCCTTGGGCAAGACACTCTACCCGCATTTGCTCCTGTGGGTAATGTCCGCAGTATTGACATTTACATGTCTAATATGTGTAATACTAAAGCGCTTTGAGCACCTGTAAAAGCGCTCTAAATAAAAAAGGTAATCCATTATTAGAAGTGAATGCTATCATATTTGCATTTAAAGTATTTAACGAAAAAACGTGCATGTTGAATTGTTGAAACTCGCGGCTGTTGAGAGTGCAGAAGAATGGGGTGTGTGAAGGTTAGTGAGTCTCTCCGTTAACCGGTGAGGTTTCCCTGTGAGGTTTCCCTGTGGGGCGAAGAGCATCGGGACACCCCCCGTTCAGTGTTATCAGAGCTGGAGCCACTTTGACTGTGTTGGTCTGCTAAGGCAGCACCTGTTGAAGTTGGCGTGGGTTTGGCTTTCTCCTTAAAGTCTGTGATTATTACAGTCAAGTCTCCAACTGTGACTTCTAGATGCTGGGCGCTGCTCCTGTCGATGTTTTTTAACCGGGGCCTGGTGTGGAAAAAGGTACAAAAAACAATTTAAAAATGTTTTTGGAGGATTACAAATATCTCAGTTGCAAAGACCACTGATTAAGATGAGCCATTTGACTATTTCCTTTAAAAATAAATTACCTCGTTTTTTTATGGCTTTTCTTTTTCAGTGTTGGGTCTTTATCACTCTTGGCTTTCTCTGATTTTTCTTTTTTCTCCTTTTTGGGGAGTGTGGGTGATGCAAACTGCTGATTTGCTTGCTGTGTGACCAGCTGAGAAACAGGCCGTGGTTTTCTGAAAGAGACAAACAAATATATATTGGCATTGTGGTTACATTCATATATGTTTTAACTTAAAAAAATATATAGTCTACTGTTTAAAAATGGTTTTAAAGTCTGAACAGTAATCAGGTACCCATATATACACTTTTAAACATATTTTGCTTGCTGTTATCATTCTTTCTAGTCAAAAGTGAAAATGCTTGCTAATGCTATTTGGATGTAATTGATGGGGGACAACATTCACAGCACTCTTTTTGGGTTCAAATGCATACACAATTTCATATGAAGTTAATATGTGGATTCAGCTACCTTACCATTTACATCTACATTTGTCAAATCAAGTGTGTATCTTTCAAATTAAAAGTAGAAAACACCTGCTTTCCGTTACTTCTAACAGTGTTTGGAGAAACAGAGCTGCAGCTGAGGTAATTGTAATATTAAGAGGGATTGTCACACTAAAAAGGACAATAACCTTGAAGATACCCCCTTGATTTGATTAACTCATACTTCTGAAAGAATATTACCTTGGAATACATTTCGGCACAGAACTAGGACTGTGGATATTGCCCCCCATGTATTTAAGTAAAAGGACGGAATCTCTTCACGGTCAGTATGAGCAATATAAATAATAACAGCAAAATGGCACCGTACAACTGTTTTAAGAACATTATGAAAATGTAAGTGTTTAAAGGCATGCGATACATTTCCTCTTCATTTGACCATCTTTTTGTGTCTAAGTGTTCCTGCGAGTGTGACCATCGGCTTTACATTTTATGTGTGATGTAGGGATATGTAAATGTTTCAATATGCTGCCTGTTCATTGGATCGTCTAGCTTAAACTAATGTAGTCTACAACATGCCTAAAATAAACCATACTTTTATGAATGTTTATAAGTTTGGTTGTGTTTTTAAAGAGGTGTTGATTGTCATTTTGGAGGCTGGGGATTGTGATGCTGTTGATTGCAATGCGTTACACTGAAAGGTATTTTTAAGTAGTCTACCCTACCCCGAATGACATAAATAGTGTGGACAAGATAATAATAACATCTCAGGATAATGCAATACAATTTAACAGCACACAAATCATGGTAAAATACTGAGGTCCTGACTACAATTCTTTGCAACAACTGTCAATTTTGACAAGACATCCAAAATCTATATCTTCGGTTGTGTTGAGCTGTATTTTCTGCATTTTCACCCACACAAAGTTCTATATTTTAAAGTTTAAATAGATGTCTTCCCACTAACAGGAATATAACTATATTGTGGAAACTCTGCATTCTTTGTTTATTTTGGTTTTCATTAAGAAGTTGTAAAAATGGCTAAAATATCCCCACAAAATGCTAAGGACAAAAGGCCATAACCCAAAACTACATACAATTGTTTCCATAAAGTTCAATCAACCTCTATCTATCTCCCTTTTCAACAAACACTGAACATTAAACCCTTTATGCAGATAGGATTTATGCATGGATGTTAGATAGCTGATACTGAGTGTATTATTATTATTATTATTATTTAAATCATGCATTAAAGTAGTTTTGCATTGCTCTGATTGTTGCAAAAATACACAGCCAGACTGCCAGAGTTATTCTTACCGAGTGGACGTCCCCTTCCGCACATCACAAATCATGCACTTGAACTCCTCAGCGGTGTTCTTGAACGTGCAGACGCTACAGTCCCAGTAACCGTCATCTGCGGAGGGCTTAGGTTGCCGCTTTGGCCTTCAAACAAAAACAAAACAAAAACACTGTGATAACGTCACATTTTCAAAGAAAGACAAAGATGACCGAAACAAGAAATACACGACTCTAAAGTTATGTTCTGCTCACAAGTCAGTCACAGAGAAAAGGGGAGCTTTCAGTTCACACAGGCAGTTTTCCCCCATACTAAACCAGCAGCCAGCCGCCATGAGCACTTCAGTAAAGCAGCTCCATCCATTGACCGAGCTTTCTGCCCTCAAACGGCCCGATAAAGTCTTCATCTAAAGACACTAGCAGCAGTTTTACCTTGTGGGGCTCTTCTTGTCTCCCATCTTACGTAACTTCGACCCACTGGAGTTAAAACACGTCAATGTTACAGGTGAAAAAACGCATTTAGCTGCAACTCAGATGTCGTAGAAACTCCTGTCGAGGACAGTCACGTGACGCCGGTTCACCCAATCACAGTTAATGTAATCACAACAGACGCTGTAATAAATGTGACACAACATTGATGAAGGGCGCTTTGTCAATTTGTTCATGGTAAAATGAGTGCGGACGTAGACATGTTCCATTGAGGAATGGGGAAGTAAAATGTAAAATAATACTATGTATTACTTTTATGTTCAATAAAATGGCATATTAACAGAGATCTGTGGACTTTGTATGTTTGAGGAGTTGACTTCATATGTTTTTTATTTTTAAAACCAAGTCCTACATTTTGTTCTAATACATTTGTATGCGTGTTTATGTACACCAAACTACAAAGTAAGCACAATGTAAGAACATGGTGAAAACGTAATACATAACAATTGTGCTTGCATGAAGGGTATTAGATTATATTGACTTTAAAACCCTTTATACTCTACATTTTGTAGGAACATTTTGTACTTTTGATTTTACTTTATTCACTGAGCAGCCATAGTTAGACACATTACCACCAGTCGCCACCAGAAGGCGGTAGCGCACTGTTTTCCGGATGTGGTCATTCAGCAAAGAAGAGCGTCCATGCTAGGGGTTTGTTTTGGTTCTCCTTTGCAGATCCACGAAGAAAACAATTCGATTGTCGAGTAACTTTTTAAGATTAATTGTTTGTTTAGCAATAGGATAATTATGTAAAACGCACTTTGTGACCAGGAGTATTACGATCATTTACAGGTGGGTGATTTTTTAGCGACTTCCTCTTGTGCTGTGATGCTATTAGCTACATGTGTACTCGAACAGTGCCACTTTAATTATGTGGAGTTTCGTGATACAGGAAATACATTTCAGTTAGTTAAACCATCTCAATCACTCGCTGCAATTGCTCTATTATGCGTTGTCTAATGATGTCCACTTCCCCTATCGGACTTTCGATGTTTGGATCACACATATTTTACGTTTACTTTAAAAGATAGTGTGTAGTGGTGATTGTTGTAACATTGTCCCCAGCAGATGCCATTTAAGTATACATACACTGTAATACATCAACTATTTGAAAGAGGGGTTTTACTTGATGCGAAGTGAATGTCAGAAGGCTTTGGTAGAGTTATCGTTGTGTTGGAGAAGTGGAGGTGGGTTTGATGTTAACAAAGGTGTGTGGTGTGTGTGTGTGTGTGTGTGTGTGTGTGTGTGTGTGTGTGTGTGTGTGTGTGTGTGTGTGTGTGTGTGTGTGTGTGTGTGTGTGCGTGTGTGTGTGTGTGTGTGTGTGTCTGTTTGGGTATATGTTCAAAACAAATATACCTGCTTAACAACACTCTACCCTTTCCCTTCTTCAAGGTCCATCATTCTCTACTGTGACATATTGTGAATACCAGACAGCAGACCAAATCAGTAAGTACAAAAACAAAACAGCACTTTGCATGTGTTACAAGCATAGCAAGATTCAAGGCTTTTATTTTCATTTGCACATAGCTACAGTGTAGATATGTCAATGAAAATGTTAGGTCACAGGCTCCTCCAACAGTGCAACACAATAAACAGATAACATACAGTAGTGCTGGTAAATACAAACAAAATAGAATATCAATGTAATAAATGATCTTTTAGAGAGACTGCCACCTAAAACAGGGCTGTACCACTTTTCTCAACATGTGGAAATGTCAAGTACACATACCTGAGCAAGTTAATATAAGCCTACCAGTGTTAGGCTTTTCACTTTGCACACATTCCAGTGTCTTAAGATGACAATGTTTGGGACGATCAATTATTTATCATCTATGTCTGCAGACCCCTGCTTCTTCACCTTTTTTTCTTCTGGTTTGATGTAGGATAATTTCCCCAGTAATTACAGCCACTAATAAGTCAGAATCTCAGGAAACCTGTTTACAATATGGACTTTTAGTGTGAAAACCATTTAGTGAAATGAACATGAGATGAGCATCAGAAAACTTGACCACTCTGTGTCTTATGCAGACTCAAGCTGATGATATGAGCCCTGTTAGTGTATTCTAGAACCCCGAAGGCAGGAGAGACTGAAAAGAGTCAAGGGAAGCTTATAAAAGTTAACAGCATTTAATTACACAAAAGATGCGGTGGTGTACAAATGAAATGTGCGAATGGAGGCGCTCTCCTCATCCGACCGGTCAGTACAGGTCAGCAGGTAGAAGGGGTCAATCCTTGGCTTGCTCTTCCTGTTGTCATCTGAGGTCTTCTCCTATTGGCCGGCGTCGTCGGGGGCGGGTCCAATGCAATTCCTGCCTTTTTCCGTTGTTAAATTATATCATTCTGGTGTCTGTGGTTATTTAAACATTTCCTAATAAACGTTATTCAGCGGTAATAAATGAGTGCTAAACCCAGTGTGCTCGGTGTACAACATCATATGTCATTTAACTTTTGATTCACGGTTTGAAAATGCAGCATTTCGCCACGTGCTAATTAAATAGTGTATTTAATTCAAATTACACCATATCAACATTGATTTTTAATTTCTAACAGCCCTCACCTTGGTTAAAAAATACTTCCTGACAATGCATTCTAAATATGAATAACTATCTATGCAAAGCCTAAGAAAAAAACCCAGGATTTTGTGATGACAAAGCCTAATTTTTCACTGCATATTCATTAAATAACATAATAACATTTACTTGATAGCTGAAGTTTGAACTAAGGATCTGACCGATGGACAAACACATGACTTTTTTTTCTTTGCAGTGGCATTTCGCAATGGCCGAAATCCACTTAGAGAGAAATATGAAGAGTGCATTTTAGCAGCGGATTCGAGAGAGGTAAGGGGAGATGTTGTTTTCTGTATCCAAATGTATTAATTGAACTAATAAGTGCAGAGAACTGATTAGTTTACTGTATTGAAATCGCAATCATGTGTTTAGCTTTTTATGACCATGACATTTATTTATGGTAGTATTCAGTATTAATTTACTTTTCTTCTTTTGTTGGTCCCTCTATATTTGGGGGATATTGTTGTTGCATCTTAATCTTTAAATGCTGTGTTTCTGCTCTTTTTAATCAAATTTTGCACAATGCAACATTAATTGGCATCTTAGGAATAGGTTCATTTCTGGTTTGAAACATAGGTACTTGCAAGCATGTTTAAAGAGCGGATATATTTGATGTAATATAAACTATTGTTTTATTTCAGGTGACAGTCCATCGAGTTGTCAATATTGTGGAAAAGGGGAACTCCATGCCTCGGTCAAATGTGAACTATGGTTCTAAAAGTTCGAATTTTTCAATGTGGAATGATGGTCCTCGGAATTACCAGGACTCAAGAGAATTTCACGGCCATGACGGTTACCCACAGAATGACCGTCGATATTTTGATGATAATTCATACAACAACAATTATCGCAGAAATGCCTCACCTCCAAGAAATGTAAGTAAAAGTTGGTATGGTTTAAAGGTTTAAAGAATTACATCTGTTTTTTGTTTCAGGTTTTAACAAAGTTATTTTGACATTCAATATTACTCACAAAAACCAAGTGTCCTTTTTCTTTTACACGTCTTATAACCTTTTTAAAGTGGATAAAAAAAAAAAGTAAGCTTTGTTATCATCCATGTTAATGAGCACAAAGCTTTTTCACTGCTTTGATGGCGCATTGTAGCATATATTTACCACTTAACATGAATGTTTACTAAGTAACTTGCATGCTAACATGGATATACATCCTCCTTCGCATTTTCAAGATGAACACAATAGTGACTTGCTTCCACAAATGCTTTCATAGGGACCCTTTAAGTTTGTTTTAAATGTGATATTTGTTTTTTTAGGAGGGCCATTATTCCCAACAGCCCTATGGCAGAGATGATTTAAGGCATCAGTTAGCCTCAAGGTAAATAACATCTTACAATTATTTTAATATTTTATTTTTTGTTTGTCACATGCTGTTTAGTCAGATGGTCAATGTCTTCATTTAATTCTTAATGTAATGCATCAAACTGTCCACAAGGTGGAAGCATGGTTCCGTCTTTTGAAAGGTGAGTATATTTGCTTGATACACAACAAGGTGTGTGACTTGCATGTCAAAAACTGGGTCAACCAAGCTTATGAAAGTACATTTCACTTTAAATCTTTTTTTAAAATGATTACTTTAACATTTAACCCAATACTTGAGAATATCACATGTATTATAACAAAAATATTGCTTTGGCAAATACCTTGGCATACAATTAAATCTTTTGGAAATATATGAAGGAAACACTTTTAATTCTCTGTGACCACACTGCTGTTGAGATAAGTTGAAGAGCTTTCACAGAGTATCCAAGCCAAGCAGTTCCATCAACAGACACTCTTCTCGCCTCGGCCACTTTAACATACCAACACTTTACGAAGCTCCCCTCTCCAGGAGTCACACCAGGCTAGAGAGGGGACAAAGAGCACTAGTGTCTACTCACTCCACCAAACAACCCCAACCGAGAGGAAAAACAGCTGGACCACGCCCTCTTCAGTCACACACACACACACACACACACACACACACACACGCACACACACACACACACACACACACACACACACACACACACACACACACACACACATCTCAGATATTCTGAGCATCGTACAGCTAATTTAAATTAGATATGTTCAAGTTCCAATTTACCCTAAAATCTATTTGTATTTTGATGACTGTTTTACTGTACGTATGGGTACCTGCCTATTGTTTTAAGACAGACTCGACACACTGGCACAAACCTTATACCTCCTTTAATGGCACACATGTAATAATGCTCCATCATTTAAAAAAATAAAAAAACGGTATACCAGCAGTGTTTTAGTTTTGCAAAAGATTATGCTACAGCTTCTCCTGCAGCTGCGTCAGAAAACATAATAGTCTGTGGGATCCTTATTTATTTATTTATCCAAAGCAAGGGTCACTGTCATGGGGAGTGGTGGTGTCGTTTTTGTGGCCACCTGCGTAGACTCTGTAGCTACAAGTAGCCCCTTACCGTGCCACTATACAGCTAGGGGTGTGGAATAAAGACAAGAAGTACAAGAGCATAATAAAGTTTTTGCAAATGCCAAATTAATCATTGCCTTTTTTTTTCAGATGTCATTATTAGTTTGTTTTATCTCGTTGTAGCCTCGCTGGATGCCCTACCAAGTTATTGCTTATTTCGGGTCATTCCTTAGTTAGTGCCTTCTCGGCTTCAATATACGTGTAATATCCGGTGGAAGAACAGTTCCCTCTAGAGAACTGTTTTTTTTTTTCAAAATTAAGTAAATCACTCTTTTCTCTCTATCTGTAACCTTTTGATGTTAGTTTTGAACTGCATAGATGGCAAGTCAGTGTTTGAAGTAGCCAGGACTCAGCCTGCCATTTGCCAAACAGACCACGAGTCGTAAAAGTTTGAAGCCTTGTTAGACCTGCTCTTTGTTTAAGATGTGGCTTGAGTTCAGGCAGAGGTCATGAAAACCAGGTGCCTTTGGGTCATTTATACCTCTGGACTTTAAGGTCGTGCTCGGGCACAAGCTACAAGCCTGGAAATAAGGAAAATAAGTCGAAATTAGCGACGATTTTTTTCAGTAGATGTGCTAGGATTATCACACATCATAGTTAGATGACAGTGAATTGTGATTTCAGTTCCATATTCAGGCTTAATAATGACTCAGCCTCCAATTGAAGACACATAGGAATGAAAGAAAACCAAAATGGTCCAAAAGTGTGCCAACTCTTGCGAGTGCCAAAGAGGAAGATTGCCACAATTTCACAAATGAATCCGTATCCCACTGGGACTGAATTGAAGTCTTTGCAGTTTTGTTTTTTATTTACTCTGTTTCCATTACCCATCTGAAGGCCTTCACTGAAGGAAACAATTTCTTTAAAATACAGTAATTATGTAGGTAGTTCATTTTAAATGAACTAATATACCCCGATTAATCAAACAAATGTTTCCATGTGCAGAGCAGCTTTGCCTGTTCTTAATTTGTCTATAGTTTTTAATTCTGTGTGTTTTTTAATGTGTTTCAGAAGCAATAGAAGAGGCGCTCCCTATTTCCACGGCAGAAGTCGAGGGTCAGGCCCTCCTTTAAGGTCAGTGCCCGAAAGAAAGGTCACTGCCCTCACATCCATATGGTTTTCTAGTATACCTTTAAACAAACGTCCAACTCTGTTAACAGGCCTTAAAATAAGGGGTCTGGTTTTTTATTTAAGAAGTCGGCTAACTATCAAAATGACAAAACGATATATTATATGTTGGCGAAGAGCATTTACAGACATTAATTATCCAAAGCACTCAGAACTCCTGAAATTCTCCTTTTGTTGCTTTTTTTCAGTAGAGAAGACCGTGACGAGTACAGACGCACTCCTACACCTAAAGGAATGAAACGGGAACGCTCTCCTGGACGAAGGGAAGCACACCCACCTGTAACTGTCTGCTCGCTATCTAACACCAGCAGCAAGAGCTTCTCCCCTGACAGGGAGAGGAATTTAAACTACCAGCAGTCTCTGAAAAAGCGTAAGTATTTAGACTTCTGTGGATCTCAGCACTCAAGTTCACAGCTTAGAAAAGACCTCAGGTGCAATCAGCTGGAAGGTAATGCTACCAGACAAAGAGAAAGAATTAGAGTGTTAGTGTTTAGTCTTAACAAGCCTTCTTACAAAACTTACTTGTGTATTTATTTATAATGATATTAATTAAAACAGGATTAATAGCAGTTATACAAAGGCAGAAAAACAATATATTCTGCTGTTTTCCATCTTTGCATCTTTAAATCTATTTTAAATGAAAGAACCAACAGTAACGGCTTATGCTGTCTGACCAGCATTATATAATGTCTGAGAATAACACTGCACCACTTTAAACTACAAGACACTTTGTGATTGGCCACAGCATGCTAAACCTGAAGAAGCACAGATCATAAAACACAGTGAAATGATGAATTGACCCTTATCTAGTACAATGTTTGTCGTCACAGCTGTTATTCCCTCTGTACTGACAACAACAGAGGTGATTTTCCCTTTCACAGAGGCATACATATAATTATAATGTCTAAAGGTATTAAGCCATTCCAGGTGAAGCATCTGTTTTCCGAGGTGCTGTGTAATGTGAAGGGTCAGAGTGTGCTGAAACACGTTAAGATGTTAATTACACTAACAACCACACACACACTTACACAGGCTGGGAAAAAGGATACCCTCGGTTTATTGGATTGGCTTAGGATTTAGAACCTGACCTTTTCGTCTGTTCATGCGCCGCTTTAACGACCTCTTCAAAATCACTTTGGCTCTGTCATTTCACATGCTTTCTTTTGTGACTCTGACAGGCTTTAGAACTTTAACAAGCAATGCTGAGCTAATGAAATGTATGGATACACATGTTACAAAAACGTGTTAAAAGTGATCTGACATCAGCAATATTATTAGTCTGAGGCAAAGCAGTGTGGGCAGCCTTTCCTCCAGTGCTTTGAATTCCAAGACACAAAGATATTAAAGCTGTGAAAATGTAGCTGCATGTCATACGGCCTTTTGAAGATGTAATAAAACAGTGAGAGCACAGTTGTACCTCCCAACTCCACTCCCATCTGGGATACTAATTAGGCCAGCACAGCAATGTAAAAAAAGAAAGGGCTTCAATGATAGCGTATGTATATTAAGCTTTGTCATGCGAACAGAAGCTGTGTGGGCCTTGGTGGTCTCAGCCCTATCACAAAAATTGACATAAATGTCAACTCGAGAGATTTATCGACTAAATATAATCAGACCTCCAGATTCGGGTCACACCTTTCCTGAAGTTGCCCAGGCAGTGTGTTTAAAGGCATTGAAGTCACTAAAAGAACCAAGTTAACATATTTAATCAAGTAATTTGTTTACATCTATTGTAGTATTGGTTATTGTTCATGCAGCACATCAATAATAAGATGTCTTTACTGCCCCAATTTTAAATAGGAACCGTTTTTAAATGCAGACGTATAATTTTGAGCAGCCAATTAGATAAGTGTTTACCCGTATACATTGCAGATAAATCTCGCTGGGGAGATCAGGTTTCTCTAATCTCCTACCCCGCTTATGGAAACCAGTTTTCTGTTCAGATTAGTGGAACGCACTGAGGGTGTGAGATGCGGGGCATGAGCTCCCAGCGTACCTTCCCTGTGTTGAAGTTTTCTCCAGAGAATGAGAGAGTCGCATATAAGCTACTACATGTCGTAAAAAGAAAATTGGCCAGTATGCTCCAAAAGAAACCCTTGTTGGAATGTCAAACAGCATGTAGAAACCCCCCCCCACGTCTTTTAGACATCATAATTAGGGTGGCTGCGTCGAACAATTTTTGTAACCTTACAAAACCCACAATCTGAGAAACACGCCTCGGTTGTACAGCGATTGGCCGTATGCCAGATTTTGAAACTACTTTGCACTCTCTTGTCTAAATATGTGCACCGTGGTCCCCATTCAAACACTTATTGCATAAAGCTCCTGTGTATTATGGCAGGCCTCCTCTTTATGTGTGGCCATTGGGAACAGCTACACTTCAGCCTTCTTAGTCATATTAACTAGTTTGTTTTAGGCACACCTCGGCATAACACTGTTGTATTTCTGATGGTACACACTACAGTATCTGAGTATTCAGCCTTACTAGAGTCTTTGTGGGGTCCTGGAGAAAGAGCCACATGGGGACTACTTAGTCCCTGCTGAGGGACTCAAATTAAGATAGAGGCTTTACCTTGGCTCACTCTAATCACTGTGGGAGAGTCCTTCAGTAAAAACAAACAACTTGTTCAAATTAGATTTTTTTTCTAGACACATTGGAGCCAGCAGAAGACAATATTTCAATCTAGACACAGATGAACTCCTCGACCACTATTGTGTGGGAGGATTCGACAAGGGAGCATTAAAAAAACAGGGATTTAAAGTTTTCAGCTGCCTCATAAGGCCTTGGCTTTATGATTGTTCACGATGACAAGTGAGTGATTGTGTGATGTTTCAGTAGACAGTGAGTGTTCCTCTGAGTGTATATATAAAATAAAAGGTTATTGCATTTTGCAGTTATTAGACAGCAGAGTGGAGAGAGCTGAGGAACCAGTGGACCCTATTTGAACTGGGAAGGCTGCAGTAAACGTGGCTTGCTTCCCAGACCAATGACCCTTTAAAACGCTCCCCCAGAGTGGATTATACTACAGAGAAAAATCAAATAAAAATAATGCTGTGCTGCCCTTGTGTATTAGATTCATTTCAACCTCTTGTTATTGTTGTCACACTTTAGTCAGACGTTTTTATTTTCCACAATTGTCTGAGGAAGGTTACCTGTGTTTTTCTCCATTTTCATCTGACATTTCACTTCTCCATAGATAAGACCAGTCCGAGCCACACTCCCAGCTCCTCTATAGAGGGGTCTCCTCACAGCTCTGGATCTGCAAAGGTAAAGCCAACATTTCACAGTGATCTAGAGCGGTATAATCTTTACAAAAAACCTGTTCCAGTGAGTATAAATACATTAATTGAAAATGGTAGCTTCTACATGTTTTTGTACAGTTGCATCTAAAGTAAAAGCTTGAAAAGTCTCAGGTGATATGAGGTGTATATACAAAGCAATAACAATGTAATCATTTTTATATTTCCGAAGCATTGAATACCCAGGAAGACAAATGCAGTTTGTGTCATAATCCTTCAGTCCTCCCCTTTCTTGTTTTTGACATAAACATTTGGAAAGATGATATTATTTAACATATCACATAGAATAGGATAATTATCAATACTATAAATGCATGTCTTGATTAAAAAAGGATATGCATTCATCACATAGGTTTGTAATATTACAACAATCAAGATTCAAAGGTTTTATTGTCATATGCACAAAGGTACAGTGTAGAAATGGCAATGAAATTGTTCTGACCTGAGCTCCTCCAACAATGCAACATATATAATAAAATATAAAAATACAAAATAAAAAGTAGTGCAAAAAGTCTATATATATCTTTCTTTTATGTCATGAATATTGCTTATTATAAAGCAAACTCTCAGGTCTTAGTGTCCTGTGCATCAGTGACAGTATAACTTTTAATTATAACAGTATACAGTTTAGTAAAGTATATCAATGTATAGTACTTGTGTATTGGCCCGGCTCGAGATACACTTTTTGTTATATTCCATGGAATGCTCTTAACATCCCGATAGCAATGAATATCTTAAGTGCTTTGACAATAAATACATTAAAAAAAGTTCATCTGTGGAAGCCGTAGCGCTGTAAAAAGCACGACCAATCATTTGAGCCGGCCCGGCTAAAATTACTGGATGGCCTACCTGCCTGTCAGCCTTCCATCTGTGCACAAACTTATCTCGTGCCCTCATTGGTCATGTGCGCGTTCGTGTGTGTTGGAGGAGGGGCTCTGTAAGGAAGTGGCAGATTTTTTCCGGCTGTGTATTTTCAAATTCTAGCGCACTCGAGCTGGTTTCTCCAAAATTAACTACCCCACCTTTAAGAAAATAATATATTCCTTGTTAGAAAGCAGAACTGACTCATGTATTTGGGTCAGTTGACCTTTGACTGTAAGGATCCTTTAGTCAGAGAGAGGGACTGTAAATGGCTCCTCTTTTCTGTTGACATTAGGCATGCTTAATGAGACATGTACCAAAACAAGAGCTCAACACTTGTAAGAGAGCAGAGTTGTCTCCATTTGAAACACTTTGAAATCAGAACCAGCTTCTAAACCTGGTGACCCCAGTTCTAACCTTTCACCTTTGGCCCTCCAGGAAAAAGCTGCTGCATCTGTAGCGGAGACGGAGGAGGTGGTGGAGACCAGCGTGGAGACCAGCGTGGAGACCAGCGTGGAGACCAGCGTGGAGACCAGCATGGAGACCAGCTTGGAGACCAGCTTGGAGACCAGCGTGGAGACCAGCGTGGAGACAAGCGTGGAGACCAGCGTGGAGCCCAGCGTTGAGCCCAGCGTGGACACCAGCGTGGACACCAGCGTGGAGACCAGCGTGGAGACCAGCGTGGAGACCAGCGTGGAGACCAGCGTGGAGGCCAGCGTGGAGGCCAGCGTGGAGACCAGCGTGGAGCCACAGCCGACACCAGACCAAGACTTCAAGGCTCGCCGGTCGGAGGCCATTAAGGCTAAGGCTCTGGAAATTGAGAAGGTAGTACGATTTTCTCCATGAAACGACCCAACTTCTGTTAATACTCTTAACTCTCAACAATATAACTGTCTCAACTTTCTTTGTTGTATCCAAGCCTTTCCAAATGTATACCAGCCTCCAATATAATCCAAAATGCTAGTTCTTAACCAGACATCATATAACTGAGTTAAAAAAACCTCAGTTTCTGAAAGTGGAAGCTAGAGAAACTACCAGATTGCTTTAATGATTTCCATTAAAACCTTAAAGCTTCAATTGACCGTATTCCGTAGTAAACTAGTTGTATCATCTCTTGTTTTGGGTTAGTGTCTCATTTTAAGAATGAGCGAAATAGTAACTTGTACTCAGATAACAGGGTAAAGGTCACAGAGTGTATCAGTGGGACATTTTTTAGAGAAACTTAAGTGGTGCCCTACATTGTTAAATAACGCACACTAAAGTACTAACGTTGTTTTGTTTAAATAAAGACAATCTATGTTGTACACTGTAGAGCTGAGAAGTTGAAGCCCCCAAACTAAGGCTCCTAATAAATTGAAATGAGTTTCTTTACCATGTCGTTCCCCCCTGTTCTCGAGGAGTGGCACGTATACAGAAACGCTTTTTTACAATGGCTTTACGATTTGGCTGTGAGTCAAGGGGTTGATGTAAAAGGCGTATAAATGCGCCTTGGCTTGCTACACGTAATATTTAAGTTAATTGAGAGAGAAGGAGGATAAGTCAGCAGAAAAGTCCTTAGCACCTGAGGTTGTGATGCCTCTTGTGGCCTGCACGTTTATCCCTCCCCCTCATCGCTCGGCACTACAGTACCACTTATCTGTTCCCGTTAAAGCAGGGCAGGAATTGCCCCGCAGGATGCATGCGGCCCACCCACAGTGTGGTACGTCTCCTGGCATTAGTACACACATGCTTACCCTGCCATTTTTAACTGCCTCTAGAGACGTGGTGAGAGGCAGAAACCTCCACCGTGTCTATACTGTAACATCTGCCTCAGGCGCAGTTAAACACACTCCGATCCAACGGTGCTGTGTGCCAGACTGAGCAGATCAGTTAGGGGGCAGAGCTGGATCTCGGACCATCACCGCCATTTTCTTAATGTAATGGCTTTTGCTATTACAGCCCTGTTAGCATTGGGCCAGATCATTTTGAAATCGATGTGTTACACTAGCATAGCTTATTGTTTAAAGACCGAGCTTTTTGTAATGCATACTTTCTGTGGGTGTCTCAGGGTTATAAATGACATTTAGAAACTTCAAACAGATTCCTTTACGCAGTTAACATCCATGCTAATGACACACATTGTCATAAGATGTTTTTAAACCTTAAATGATTTGATTACAGGCTTAATGACCAGCATGCAGTTGTTTTGTAAACCTTGTGATGGAACAGATGACCAGCGGAGCAATTTATAAACCTTGGGATGGACCACAGAACAAATCAGAGCATGTAAAATAACAACAAAGAAAGAATATCCACTCTTAACATAGAAAAGTGCCTGGGAGTGATTTTCAAAGAAGTCCATTCATCATTGATTTCAATCAGCGCAAATGAAAGTTATCCATTTCAACTATTAGCCCCTCCATTGAGAGGTCCGGTTTGCAGCTTGAGTGATTAAAATGGCTCTTTTAATATCCCCTAATGTGTACCAGCCCTCAACTCATTACCCCACTTCCCTTATTATACAGGACCCCTGCCTGCATCAGTGCTCATTTGAACAGAGCCTCTCTAAATGTTCATGTGAGTGCCTTATGTATAATCTCACTCAGACCCCCAACCCCCACCCCGTACCCCAGCTCACTCCTGTCAGTATGTTCACAATTTGGACCTCCACCAACATCCGATTTGGGCAGAATCCCATTTTGTAAGGCTCCTCTTTAAGGCCCCTAGTGTTGCTGTTTCCACCCTGTGTGGCCCCTTAGTATCAGGCTTAAGATCAGCTCATGGTTCCCACTTTAGGGGGAGGTTTAGGTAGAACCTCCCTGCAGCCTTTTCCTCCCAACACACAGAGCACGCTCTGGTCAAAAGACCCTTCCTGTTTGTTCAAGTAACATGGGAGCAGTTTTTACAAAAATAGCACGCTGGTTGGAGCAGCTCCACGATCGTTGGAGCCGCTCCACGATCGTTGGAGCCGCTCCACGATCGTTCGATGCAGTAATTAATGTAAATTGATGCTCTCCATCTCGCACACATTTATATGCATGGTCATGCAGATAGCTTACAGTCTTCTAAGCTCTAGTAACATCAAGGGATATCACTTAATTTGAGTTCATAGTTCATTAAAGGGCCATTTTTCCCATCCCTTTCCTCAAGGCTTTCAATTGTGTAAAACTGTATGTACGGAATATAATGAAGTGAAAATGTAATCACTGTCAACAGAAGCTGTAGCTTAGGAACAGTTTTGTTTTGAACGATGGCAAACATAATCAACCCTAAGTGATTAGAGAGCTACTGGTTTATAGGACATTCACCACATGTTAGTGTCTTATTTTAACCGTGTTTCCTCTCACATCTTATAACCTGGAAACAATCTTCGCCTTTCCTAAAATCTGCTAACTTAGTGAGAAAGTTTAACCAAGGAGAAATCTACACTGTAGAGGTAGCGGTGTGGAAATCCTCCTGTGTAATGTTCAATTAGAAATAGGTTAAAAATAGCCTGGGAAGGGACTCGTATGTAGACAGAAGGAAACCTGTGTTGTTGAATGAAGTTGACCCTGAGCATAGCTGGCCACACGTATCGTGAGTCTCTCCTTGTGGTCGGGCCTGAAGACTGTCATTATGTGGGGCCGCAAATTCGCTTGACATGATCTTCAGACATTAAATCATTCGCAAGAGTCCAAACATCTCCCACAGTCTGAGGTATTTCTGTCAGAGGTTACTCCACTTGCCTTCCTCTGTGTGTGTACAATGCATGTTGTGATACAGTGTTAAACTGTATTGTTGTAATATTCATAGTTATTGACCGTACCATAAGAATTGATACATTTTCTCTGTAAGAAGAGCAACTCTGTTCCAATTGTACGCCTCTTATCACAGAATATGGGTTAAGCCCCTGTCACACTGTCCCGAAATTGACTTCGGGACAGTGTGACAGGGGCTTAAGGGATGCGGGAATGAATAGATAGGTGTGCAACTAGCTGAACATGCCGTAGCTGGTTTAGCAGGGGAATTATCAGGGAGAGAGAAATATGAAATATAAAAAAAGCAATGAAGAAGAACTGAAGTGATCCCGGGGCTGGAGGCGTTGAAAGTTTCATTGTAATTAGTAGGTAGAGCAGAAAATTAAGACCCTTTTTTTCCCCCCACCCCAGTCTTGAGTGTGTCATTTTATTTTCACATCACCTTATTTAGCCTACCCTTTCTCCACCAACATGTCCCTTTAGCCTCTCTTTTAGCCTTTACTTTGTGCTCTTTTCTGTGGTCAAATACAGTAAGCGATTCCCATGTGGCACATTTCTTCCAACCTTATTGTTCCATGCTGAATGTCATGTTATTTTTTAGTATTTGACCTTTTCTGTGTGTGTAAGACCCCACCCAGGCAGGCTCCCTCCCACTTTTTGATGAAAAAAAAAAGGATAGTCTTGATACAAACGGTGGCAAATCTATTAAAAAACTGTAGACTCACAGTCCCATATTGGATTTTCTATCCTTTCTCTTCTAATTTGAAACTTCTGTAAATCATATATTTCTCCCTATTTTCTTGCCCAAAAAAACATTGAAATTGTCATCAAGTACAGTTAAGTCATTTGACAGCAATATAATGAGTTTACAAAAGCTCTAGTGATCTCTATACAAATTGATGGATACACCAGCACGAGTTAGCCTGAATACACATTATGTAATGTGTATATAGGCAAAGAAACAGCAGTTGTGGCTTTAAATCCTCCCATAACTGACAGAATCCTGGAATATAGCCGTTTAACTGGTTAACCTCACATTCTGCTCAAGACTCTGATTTAGGTTGACAGGCAGCATTTTTCTTTTCAAAGTTAACAAAGCTGATGGATTTTTGTTTTATTCCATTTAACAGACAGTTAATGTTTGAAAAGATGCTGTCGACTCTTTCTTGTTTTAGAAAATGTGACTGCAACTGCCCACATAAACGAAAATGGTAATTCCAATCTTAAAAGGAGAGGAAACTGCAAACGCTTGAAATCACTACTTTGAAAATGTAGGTCCGCTGACACTTCAGTAAAATGGTGCAAAGATTGACTCAGACAATATGTTTTGGTGGCTAAATATGTCTTCTATGTCCACACATATCAGCCTGTTTTTGTAAGTTGACATGTCTCTAATCTTTGCTAGTAATTTTCCTTTGACAACTTGTAGTGGCCAATAAGTGGTTGTTGTAGCCACAGAGAAGCCTTCCTTTCTGCTCTAGTGACTCTAATTTGACGGGAGAGGTGATCTGGGCTGCATTAACTCAACCCTAGAGGACCCCGATGTCCCAGACTTATCCATGACGGACTGGTGCAGCCCTAAAAATGTAGGGTGGGGTTAGTTCAGGGCCTCACATTTAGCCTTTTCTCTCCAGGTGATAAAGATGTTGTGAGCTTGCACCTGGAACTCTAATAAAGGACTTAACAGCCGTTTTGAGTCAGCAGTAAAATCTGAGAGGGATGTGAGAGCTTGTTACAATGTGGTGTGAAAGAATGCTAAAGCACCAGTAACATACTCTGACACCTCAGGATCCTTTGTTATGGGCGGACATGCACTTGAATAGGCTCGCTGCACACATTCACACACCTGTTTAATGGAATACACCAATTCACCAGAGCTGGGTTCATTAAGTTCAAAGTAAGGCGTTGATAAAAGAGGTGATTTTTTTATATTATTTGGGGTCAGTTCAAATGTATTATGTATACACTGTATGAATATAGGTATTCTATGTGCATAAACTACCCACAAATCCAATAATTTTATGAGGTGCTATATGTTGTATTGTTATTCTGCCTAAGATTTCTGTAGATTTTGAAGTGATTCGTGATACCAGAGATCCTTCCAGACGTGTTGTTCAGCCTATACACACATAAGGCAGTTAACTTTAAGTCACAATCTTTCTTCCATCTTAAAACATGGGGAATAAAAACCCTCTAAAATACAAAACACTGGAATGCATCACTCAGGTTGATTGAAAAGCCGATATGTTTGATTATGTTAAGATGGGAATCAAATTGCATTTTGTTTTGTAATAACTCTTTATTTCATATTGCCAAAATGACCCGTAAACATAGAGTGCCTCAAAGACAGACCTATCTATTGATAAGGTTGGAAGTCTTTGTATTGTATCATTAGAAACTCTTGACACCCCTGACCTGATTATTTTATGTGCAGCATTACAGGCAGGACTGTGAGACATTTCGCACAGTGGTGAAGATGTTGGTGGCCAAGGAACCCACCTTGAATGGTTTGCTACAGGCTCCGCTGGATAATAATCTGCTGGAGATCAAAGAGCGCTGCCTTGATGCCCTCAGGCACTTTGTGAAGGAGCTGGATGAGGTATTATAGTAGCTGTACAACTCAGCAGAAGCTACAAGTCAACAAACGTATTCTTTACATGTATTTAAAACCTGTATTACATTTTTTAACCAACAATTAGCAACAGTGATTCATGAGCCATGTTGAAGAAAAGCTGTCAGATATTTAAAAAAATGTCAATTGTCTTGCTTTGTCTCATTGATAAATCTACTGATTAATGTAATAATGAAACTTTCCAATCAAATCATGTGTATCAGTTGTTAGCGATATGAGGTGAATTCTACTATCTGTATCTCTATTTCTTGCAAATCCTGACAGTGAGTACAACTAACAACTAATGTTTCTCAGATGTTTTTATTGTATTATATTTCAAATGGACTGACTTTCTATGTATAGAACATGCATTTTTATTGTCTTTTAGATGTCTTTTTAGTTACACTTTTAAATAAAAGCTGAGGTATTAAATATAGGTGATGTCTTCTCTTGTTTCTTATTTCCATTTAGTACTACTGCACAGTAAATAACAAGGCAAATCATGATATATAGATATTTTTATTACAATGATCATCTATCTTAGCCTTATATTCCAGTTTGTACATTTATACAGATTACAACAATTTGCTTACAATACAGTGACCCATAAATACACCACTCAACCAGGCCTTTTAATACACACAGTGTTCCTCTTATGTTAGCGCTGCACATGCCTGGAAGAAAATACATTTGAAGAGCTAGGGTCAGAGTCAACTGGTCCATTTCTGACACCCTTGTGGAAATATGGCTCTGTACCAACTGCTAATGTTAATACCATTTTGGTACAGATCATGTCATGAAATCAAGGGTATAAAAATAGCCATAATGTCTTTTAATTCTACAATATATACATCAATATCTTCACTGTTAAATAAAGACAGTTTGGATGGTGGTTTATAAATATGTATTGCTAAAAAATGCTTTGTTACTTTACTGGCAATGTTTGCAATGACATGCGTACACTTATGATGACTTGTCGTACACAAACATATTGGTAAATGTAGTGCTGTGAAGCGTTTAGGAGTAAGCAGACTGTTGAGAGGCAGAGGTGAGTAGCAGAGCATTACCCAAAGATAAGGATAAGAGAGTAAAGCAAGTCTAAGAAATGATACAGTTTTTCCCCTTATGCCCTTTCTTCTTTTTGGACTTAGTCCGTAAGCCGTAAGAAGGAGAAGACATGCCTGCCACAGGACTAGGCAAGTCCTCAGTGTAGTAATGTCTATGGGGCCTGGGCTGAGGGATGGGCTGACCCAGGAAAAATCCTTCTTCCTCAGAATCAGATGAGGAAGAAGAGCATGTAGAACACCAGTCATCATCATCCCCATACAGCTCCAATAACCTCCCCATGGCTTGGCCCTGTAGCCCATAGTCTGACATGGCAGCAGGATTTTGGTGGCCTTGGAAGGCTTGGTGCGCCTTTGGGCCGAGGGCATTCCCCCTATGGTCGAATTTGTGGCAAATTTTGGCCTTCTCCTTTGGCAGAAGGTTTAGAGCATTGTCAGAGCGAGATTTGCGACTGCGATGCCTCCTGTTGTGATGATGTTGGCGACCACTCTGAAGTTCCTGGCCCTGCTCCTCAAAGTGGTACACTCTCCGGCGAGTTCGCTCACTCATAGGTGGTTGGCGCACTGGGACATCGCAGTAGTGGCCATTGTCCACCACGTCATCAGAGAACTTGACTTGCTGCTGCCTAGATTGTGAACGAGTCCTCCTTAGGGCAGGGACATGAGGTTTGGGCCTGCTTTCTGGGAGAGTCACCTCTTCTTCTGGAACATTTTCCTCCTCCGGCTCGGATACAAGGCTCTTTAGGGAATTTACACTTCTGTGTAGCATAGAGGAGTTGAGGGTTCCCATATTACTTGTTTTCTCACAGTCATCTGCCTCCAGGTCATGGAAGCCTTGCAGGGAATATACCAAAGGTCTATCTGTCCTATCACCATCAACCGAGGCCCCTAGAGAGGAGAGAGACACATTTGTAAATGTTTGCACATAACTCACTGCCATCCAATACAATATTATTTACTATGATCTGATACATTGTGTCATATCTACTCACCGGTAATATTTGAGAGTGCCAGTGAGTCCATAGAGTCTCGGACACTCTGATCTGTCTTCTTGAACTCATCTGTGATGCACTCCAAAGAGTCATTATACCATATGGGCTCTTCTATCTGGAAGCCTGCTCCAGCCCCATGATCAAGCTCCAACTCCTGGATCTTTCTGCTGCTTGCTGGACCCGGATGACTACCATAGGCTGAGTCCCCAAGCCCGTCCTGTGACTGGGCCCAGTACATATCAGCCTGGTACTTCTTACTGGCCAGGCTCCCCCTTTCTCCTCCGCCAACATGGCCAGATTTCAATGACTCCTGCTTGGACTTGGCATCCTTTTGGGTGATCCAGAAATCTGCAGGTCTGGATTCATTTGCTTGCTGGAAGACCCCATGTTCCCCAAACTTTAATAGCAGCTGAGTCATGTAGTCTTCATGCTCAGCCCACTCCTCCTCCTGGTCCTCAGATGCCTCAGTCTCCTCACCACGTCCCCTCCAGAAATGCTCATCTGATAAGTTCACTTGGGCAAGCTTGTTGGTCAAGGTGTCCTCCACGTTTTCACTCATACCAGGAAACTTGTAGTTGACAGAGGGTGAGAAAAGGAGGGACTGTCGGCATTGGTCGGCTGAACGACTGCTCTTGCCCATGCGCACACTGCGGCGGGTTTCCCGTGAGCGTGCTGACTGGAAGGCAGAGTCTGAGGAGTCAGAGGCATGCACGTCTTCCCCAAGACTGCAGGCCTTGGAGCAGTAAATCCGACCCTGGTGTGGCAGAAAGGGGCAGCCCAAAAGAGAGCTCTTACACTGGGCACAGCTGAAGCAGCTTTCAGTGGCATGCCAGTGGAGCCCATCATAGGTCATCTGAGCATGATCAACGCCTGGAAAATGGACAATATTGAGGTGGTTAGAATTGCTACTTAAGGTCTTAAGACTAAAATCAAGACAATCATGCCAGGTATTTTAATTCTAGAAAATCATCATTACCAATGTGTTCCCCACAGGCCTCACAGTACTCTGCGTAGAGTGACTCAAAGCAGCCACAACAGTAGGGTCTGCCATCCTTCATGATGTAGCGCTGGCCCCCCAGGATTGTCTCACATTCAAAGCAGGCAAAATGCTTCATGTGCCAATGGCGCCCCTCTGCCTCTGTGCACTCATCAGCGAAGATAATCTGAGGAAATAGATGTACCCTGGATAAAACAAAACCGCCAGCTTTGTCCTTCTGGCTGTAATATATATGTTGGATTAGACTGACTCTAAAAGGCCATACATTTCAGACTCAGAATGTTTTTCTTTCACTAAATTGTTTCCTGTCAGTATTTCAGTTTTGTTGTTTTACCTCTTCACAGGCTGAGCAGCGTGGTTTGAGTAGCTCAGCATGATGCCTTCCACAGTGGATCTTTCCATCATGGTAGAAGTAGATCAAATCCACCAGCAGTTCGCTGCATGTGGAGCAGGCAAAACATGCCGGGTGCCAGCACAGCCCAGGACCCGCCCTCGAGGAGAACACTGCCATTTCTCCACCATTGATGTTTTCACCGCACTGGAATTTGAAGATATGATTACATGGTTGATTATAACATCCTGGAATGAATGTAGTTCCAAAATATTCTGTGATCATATAATCTGAATCATGCATTGGTGATTACATCTATCATACCACTACATGGACAAGGTTTTGGCTTCAAGCCCATATAAGATGTCAATGTTACACAGAGCCAAGCCGACAGAAAGTAAAGTATCATATTGAGGGGGTGATTATGTGTCCCATTTTTGTGGGTAATATTTGTCCTAAAGACAGTCCCCAAGCAGCTAACTTATTTTCTTTTTTTGATCCTTGCATCACATGAGGAAGGGACTTCTCAAATCAACAGTTTCTGTTAAGGGACTCTTTAATAGAATGTCTGACAATTAGGTCTTTATTACAGCTTTCCCTCTAGGGTTTTAGCACAAACTGGATTCAGATTCGCTAAATATAGTTGAAACAATTATTTTGGGTTTTAAAATATGGACTAGATAATTGACTTCAGAACAAACGTCATGCTTTCCACACTCTCCCAAAACACGGCATATAACAGTTGTAAATAATAAATAAAGACCGGGAACGTACATGTTCACAAATGCTGTTCAGAACATTTCGAGGCAGCAGTTTCACTGTGCCCCTTCCCAGTGCTTCCTTTTTCCTCTGGACACTGAACATAAGGAGCTCCTTCTTCTCCTCTTCACTGAGGGACTGGCAGTAACGCACCTGGGAAAAAAAGTAATACGTTATGGGTATGAAAGCTCATTTCTCAATCATTTACTTCTACATCAATCAGTGGGATTCTCTCTTTTGAAGGCCTTATACTGATAAAAAACCTGCTGTTGTTCAAGTTACCTTTTCATTATAAATCCCTTGAAAACGCAATTGCAAGAATGTCGGCCACTAATAAAAGGTTATAAACGTAGGTAAGTATAATAGAGGGCAGAGTGCATACCAAGCATGCTGAACAAAGGCAACTCTTGACCCCAGCTTGCCCTTCCTACACCCCCTACATATCTCCACCCACAGTCCCTGATTGAGAACATCATTTTTACAACAGGCCTTTCTGATGTTTCCCTAAGCCTTAACAAGAGGGAAAGCAGACGTTTACACAAACAAGGCTTGTGTTTAGAGTGAAATCAAGAGGACGGGCAACAAAGGGAGAGAGACGGCCAGGTCCAACTGTGGTGCCACTGCTGTGGTGGCATCACATAAAGCCTCTTTCAACCAGCGTCCTTCTCCCCCGCTGAGCAACCCTCGTAAAAACCTCCCGGCAAACATCATAAAATCATGAAGTCAAAAGTCACATTGTGCCCACACTACATGCCTACAAGATTGTGGAACAAAAATCCCCCTGTGTGATGTCAACCGGAATGCCAAGGGCACACGGGAGTCGGATGGCATGGAGATGGTGAGACTGTTAACGCCATGGGTTTAACGGGCAGCAGCAGATACAGCTACTCAAACTAAAATAAATCTTTTCTGCAGCCTCGGCGTAAATGAGAGGACCTGCTGGGGTGAATTTTATGATTCTTTCATTTATGCAAAGGCAAACAAAAATATTCTCACCTCATTATCGTGTGGTGGAAGTTGGTAGAGGAGCTGCTTGATTCTAAACTTCTCTCCGGGACTGTTCACAAAGGGGATCTTATCCTCAGGCAGACAGGAGAAATACAACTGGACCTGGAGAAAATCATGGAATAAGGAGATTAGGCAGATAAAACACCATCTGAGCGACTAGATACTAGGTATTAGTTTCTGCTGAAAATCTTAAAATCTGAAAAAGCATTTAACAGTTTAATTAACCCTTACTCAATACAAATGAAACCAATTACAAATGATATATTTGCAAGAATGTGTGGTCAT